CTACAAATTAAAGTGTAAAAAGAAATAAAAAGATAAGAAAATAAATCTACACTACAAGCATGAATTTAAATCTAACTAATAAGCAATAATAAAGAAATTAATAAAAAGAAATAAAAGAGAAAAATAAAAGAAAAGCAAACCTTCAAACTTGTAAAACCCCGAAAATTTGAATACTTTATGATAAATAATAATAAATATATTATACATTTATAAATAATATATTATGATGTTTGAGTATGCTAGGAATTGATTTGAGATTAATTCAATGTATATATGTATATATATAAGAGCAAATGCACATTTCATGCTCGATGTATAAATCTGGGAATCTATGACTAGCTAAGAGTTTATGTGTTTTACATATCATTACAGTTGGAATTTGAAAAAAACTCATAAGACTAAAGTTGTAGGTCTCTTCAATAGATTTCCAACGAATCTTTAATCACCTCATTCCGAGGTCGTATCAGAAAGTTATGGCTATTTTATCGAACCTTAATTTGTCTGCAGACTATCAGACGGTCGACCGCAGTGGGCTCGACGGTCGACCGCTGGGCGTGCAGACGTCAGTTTCAGTTCTGTTTCGGGTTGGTTTTGTTTATACCAAACACGGTTTTCAATACTCACCAATGATTTTGGTTAAAGAGATCTAAATCTAAAAATGTTTTATTAAGAGTTAAAATTTCGATTTACTGTTTTATAACTTTTCAATCACGCGTATATACGTTCACAAATCTTAGTGATGATGTTGTTTACATGCTAGATGATATTATATGATGATTCATATGTATTAGAATGTGTAATATATTGTTTGGAAGCATGGGTGTATTGTTAGGATCGATTTCGAAGCAAAACAGAAACCTGAAAAAGCTTCTGTCCGTTTTGCGGTCGACCGCGGTGTGACGCGGCGATCGACCACTGGGCATTCCGTCGAGTAGAACGTCTCTGCCCTGTGCGCGGTCGATCGGAGTGGTCTCTGCGGTTGACCGCCGCACTGTTTGTGCATGTATTTTTTTTGGTTGTGTATTTTACACGTCCGAGGGGTCGCCTCGATTATCTGACACTATATTGCAATGATAGTGACTTGTCTATACATGTGAGTTGACACTTTTGACACAAGTTTAGACCCGCACATCGAGACACATGCGAGTTTAGGATATGTATATCTTTCCACATATACCTTTGACAATTGCACCTCTTTACTTATAGTCCATGTGTTGGGCATACATTACTATTGATCCATGTGTTGGATACTTATCATTTCGGTCCATGTGTTGGACATGCATTTTATTCAGTCTATGTGTTGGACATGCATTACCTTTGGTCCATATGTTGGACATTTGCTAAACCTTGAGCATGATTCATAATTGAGTTTGGAGTACGACTTATTTATTAAGTTTGGACACGATAGCTACCTAGGCTGGACAGGACACTTATTGTGGCTTTGACATGGTTACATTTATCGATAGAGATGAGTTGTATTCTATTCTTTATTGCTTCTTGTATTAGACCTCAGGTTTAGTATTTAGGGGTTTACAATTTAAGATACAAGGTATATACATGAGGGTTTCCTTGTTTGGATTATTTCGCTCGATGTACCTATACTCGTATTGTAATTTCCTAAGTACCAAAACCCATTATTGCTAGGATAAATGATTCTATATTTTTATGTATTAACTGTATTTTTCATATACAACGAGCCCTCTACCTTGGGGTTGGTTGTGATATTGCTCGCTAGCGCTTTGACGCTCGTTGTCCCTCCCCCTTTTAGGTAACGAGCCAGGAGTCCGGAGAGTCGCAGGTTGATGGCGACACACCTTAGTGTTCAGCTATCTATTCGAGCTATGCTTTATTGTGGAGCTCCACTATAGTTTTTGTTAGACATTCGAGGACTATTTTGCAAGTGTTGTAAAGGCTGTATGCCTTATTTCTTTTACTCAGACATTTTATATTCGAGACTTGTTGAGAACTCCAGTTTATCTACTTCAGCCATTGACTATGTATTTCTGTATGCTGGATGATGAGATATCTATGTGTTGTTATCGTTTCATCAGATATCATATGTATTATCTTTTACTTGGTTTTGTACCTACACCCATTGTTGACTCTACTAGAGAGATGTTAATTGTGATGGTGAAATATGTTATTGCACGGTGTCGTGCATGGCAGGTTTGATATTCTTGATTTTACCTTGGACTGCTGCCTTGTGTGAACCCGCGTCACAGTTGGTATCAGAGCTCTAGTTCCAGTATCCTTAGGATCATCCTGTGTCAAGTTGTAGAGCTAGGACAGAGTTTCTTAGGATTCATGTATAGAGTCCGTAAGGATTCCCTAGTATGAGTGAGGACGATATATGCGTATATCTCAAATTTTGAGAATATTTTTTTGTGACAAGTATTTTTATGTTGATTGAAGGTATTTGCGTGAATACTATGTGTTATAAATTTGTATTGTGATACGTTGTATATATATATATGTATATATATATATATATGATTGTGAAAGATCCGACGATTTCTTTCTTGCCAGATATGCCACACAGTAGCACTTAAAACCAATCTTGCCAGTTTGAATGTTCTATCCCTCACCTTGAATTTCTGTTGAATGTGCAGCGCTTCAGATGTGAGGTCTTGGATAACCGTAGGATCCAACCGCAATTTTAGTTTACAGAGCTTCCAAATAAAAGCTGTGAACGGGCATTGAAAGAAAAGATGGTCTCTAGATTCCTTCTCACCAGAGCAAAGAACACAATCTTCCACTGAGGTGATACCAAATTTTGAAAGCCTGTCTCTAGTAGCCATTCTATTGTATATACATTTAATCAAACAGCAGGCCATTTTTGGGTTTGCTGAAGGGAACCAAATCACATTGTAAAGATCAAAACTATTGAAATGAGTCCTAACTTGATCCCAAGCCGAAGCAAAGGAGAACTTACCACTAACTTCAGGAAGCCAAACCCATTGATCACTTTGTTCAGAAATTTTGATTTCAGCTATTGCATTCACCAGAGGCATAAGACAAGGTAAAGTTATATTCCATTGAGAATTTTGAATGATGTGAGAAACTGTCCAATTCTCAGTGCTAGTGAGCTGAGGAGTAGGATGTTGTATTAACTCAATAATTCTGCCTTCATGAATCCATGGATCAAACCAGAGTGAAGTAGATTCCCCATTTCCAATAGATTTCCGTATGCAATTCAAGGCTTTGAATTTGAGACCTGAAAGATACTTCCAAGTGCCAGAGTCCATTAAGTTAGAAGAAGAATTCCAGAAATTAACATCCTTGATATATCTTAAATTCATCCAATTAGTCCAAAGAGAATTAACAGTAAGGAGGCGCCAAATCAACTTTAAACCTGCAGCTTGACAGAGATCATCTAGTGTTCTGAGTCCAAATCCTCCTTCCTGTTTTGGTCTACAGACATTTTTCCATTTAATTGCATGCATCTTACCCTTCCAAAGAAAATTTGCAAAAGTAGCTTCCAAACTGTGTATAACAGAGCTAGGAAAGAAATAAGCAGAGTACCAATAAGATATGGTACTATACAGAACTGCTTTAATGAGCTCAAGCCTCCCCGCAAATGATAAGGAGTGAGTCATCCAACCCTCGATCTTATTCCTAACTTTATCAATTAGGGTGATAAAATCCTTAGCTTTAGGATAATTTATTGATAGAGGTAATCCCAAATATTTGATAGGTAGAGTTCCTCTAGATATTCCCACAATAGAGCTTAGATCATTTGTATTAACACAACCCTTGCTGTAATATATCCTGCTTTTGCTTCGGTTGATACTCAAACCAGTATGAAGAACCAGAGAATCTAGCAGATTGTTTATACCTTCGAAAGATTTCCTATTTGCTCTACAGAAAACCAGCATATCATCAGCAAACAAGAGATGGGAGACTTGCAGATTCTTGTTCTTCTTAAAATTTTGAATTTCCCCTGAGATTGTAGCCAGCTCCATCCCAATGGACCATAATTCCATCACTAAAACAAATATATAAGGAGATAGAGGGTCTCCCTGCCTAATGCCCCTATTACTCTTAAAAAAACCATTAGGGGAACCATTTAAAAGAACAGAGAAAGTAGCAGTTGACAGGCACTCCCTAATCCAATTGATCCATTTGACTGGAAAACCCATACAGTGCATAATATAGTATACAAACTCTCTGTTAATGCTATCAAAAGCTTTATGCAAATCAATTTTTAAACAAGCTCTTTTCCCATGATTCTTAGAGAAATCCCTTAGCAATTCATGAGCCAATAACGAACATTCACCTATATGTCTCCCTTGCATAAAAGCATGTTGATTTTTTGATATCAATTCACCCACCACCAATTTAAGACGATTACTCAAAATTTTAGATATAATCTTGTATATGACATTGCAACAAGATATTGGTCTATAATCATTTATGGAAGAAGCTTCTTGTGATTTTGGCACTAGGGTGAGGAAAGTGTGATTGATCTGTTTAAGGAGTTTACCTGATGAGAAAAATGATCTCACTGCTGGAACCACATCAGTCTTGATTAAGCTCCAGTTTTGTTGATAAAAATAGGCATTAAAACCATCAGGTCCTGGTGCCTTATCTGGATTCATCTGGAAAAGAGCATCCTTAATCTCCTTGTAACTTATATCCTTGCATAACCATTGTTTTGCTTCATCAGTTAGAATTCTCTTAACTGTCAGTTTAGGGAAAATATTCCAATATGATGTTTGATTGAATAACCCTTCATAAAATTTTGGAGCCATGACTTTAATTTGGTCAATAGAAGAGATAGTAGAGCCATCTTTGTCAATCAGATGTCGTATGCTATTCATAGATATTCTTTGTTTTATAGCATTATAAAAAAACTTAGTATTTCTATCCCCTTGCTGCAGCCATGATTGTCGACTCTTTTGCCTCATCTCATCCTCCTCCTTGCTTAGCCATCCATCAAGCTCGAAACATAAAGCTAATTCAGTAGATTGTAATCTCTCATTATCCATGTCTTTATTTAGCTAATTCTGGATGTGCTCCAACTGTTTTGATAATTTTATAATATTTTCCTTTGTTGAAATGCCTGACTGTTTTGACCAATTTTTTAGAGCAGATTTTAATTCCTTTAGTTTAGAAACCAACTTGAACATTGGAGTACCTGCTTTTGAAATATTCCAGACACTATTGACCACATCTTCATAACCTTGACATTGAGTCCAGAAGTTAAAAAATCTGAATGGCTTTGGCCCTGAAGTAGTGCTGGGCATAAAATGGACAAGAGCTGGGGTGTGATCACTAGAAGATGTGCATTTATATTCTATAAACATTTGAGGAAATTTACCAATCAAAAAAGAGTTGCTCAGAGCCCTATCCAACTTGCCATATATTCTGAATCTACCTTGTTGCTTATTATGCCATGTCCAAGATGAACCAGAGCTTTTGATATCAGACAGTCCACAATTCTGTATACAATCATTGAAATCTTTCAGATTCCTTGCAGTAAGCTTCCTTCCTCCAATTTTCTCTGATGTGTATCTACAAACATTGAAATCACCCACTAAAAGCCACGACATTTTGTTAATTTGAGCATGAATATCAGTAATATCATCCCATAAAGTAGATCTTAATGATTCTGAATTTTCTCCATAAATAACACTCAACATTAGATTGAGACCCCCATTATTTTGTAGAATTATTGTTATCTACTGTAAAGTGATATATATTTATTTATTATCTCATTTACTGTGATAATTAAGCTCTCCTTTTGATATTATAAATATCAAAACGAGGATGTGGTCGAGGTAAAACTCGTACCTGGAGAGCTGGGCATGCAGATCCGAGCCGCATCAGACTCCACAGTATTTGATCGACTTCATGACACCGTTAGCAACAAGATATTACAACACTCAAGGAGCAATAAGTGTATCCGTTTCCATCAGCAGTACCACTTTCAAGAGTTCTATCACCGGTTGTACCCGTCGTGAAAGTAAAGAGGCAATACCAATGAGGGCACCACCACCACAATCAGCTGTTTATAGTGCCGCAGAGCAGGAGGTTTAGCTCTGAAAGAATAAGAAAGATACCATACAATGAGAGCACCAGAGTTTCAAGGCACACCAACTTCATTTACAACCTATAAGGGAAGGAGTATGTGAAAATTCCTTGAACGTCGGCTTAGTACCAAGAAGAAGTTAGATGTATTCAGTACTGAGGACATCGCTGGAGGATAGTAACAACATCCAGATTTTTGACGGGTAGCAATTATCACCTATTTTGGAGAATTTTAGTCACTACCTCAACAAGTAGTTAAAACTAGTCTAAGTGAAGCAGAGAGATATACCCGTAGTGAAGGAAGAAAATCAAATCAGAATAGTGACAATGACAATGACAAGAGAACTATTACAGAATCTAGAGGATCCTAGCAGCGGGAGTGATTTTAACCTAGTAACAAGGACAATATAAGAAAGGAGCACAATATGATTCGAGAGCGCCAAAGTAACGCAAAATTTGGAGTACATGTTACAATCACAACAAGATCGAACAAAGAGCGAAAGAATTATCGTAGTACACCAGCAGGGAGCCAGCAAGATAGAGGTCACGGACGACAGCCTCAGAGTCGTAATTTCAGCCAGCAGTGGGGAAATAGAGGCACTACTTGTTAAGCCGAGGATTAAGGATCAGCAGGCCATATTTGCATTATCCAGGAGATTTGCATTATCCAGTAGAGTCTATTCAGTAATACCGTGTGATCAGGGTACGATCGGAGCTTTATTCATGAATTTCTTTTCAGCTCGGATCTAATTTGATTTAGAAAATTTGCTTATCTTTCATACCTCCGTTGGTAGGATTCAGCTTGTAGCGCATTCTTTAGATATTCCGTTGTCAGTATCTACTCCTTTAAGGGAGGTGTCCACTCTATCTATAGGAGATACGTAATCAGACTAGACGAGTCAGATTTTGTTGTCGATTTGATAGCGTTGTATATGTCCGGGTTCGATATTATCCTTGGTATGGTTTGGTTATCCTCCTACCAGGCGAGTATTGACTGCTTTGCGAAGATAGTCAATTTGCGAGCGTCCGATGGGTCCGAGATGATTGTAGCAACCTCTCAGGACAACCGTTTTCCAGAGTCGTTTCTGGCGTATATCGAGGAGGTGCTGTAACGAGATCTGAGTATAGATTTATTAGAGACTAGAGTTATCTCAGAGTATCAGGATGTCTTTTAGGATATACCTGGGTTACCTCCTGTGTTAGAGGTCGAGTTTTGTATTGAGTTACAGCCGGGCACAGTCCCGATATCCCGTACACCCTATCGTATGGTACCAGCTGAGATGAGAAAGCTTCGGACCCAGTTGGACGAGTTGTTAGCTCAGGGTTTTATTTGTAGGAGTTATTCTCCGTGGGGCGCACCGGTCCTCTTCGTGAAGAAGAAGGACGGTAATATAAGATTGTGCATTGATAATAGAGGGCCGAACAAGGTCACTATCCGGAATAGGTACTCATTATCTAGGATTGACGACTTGTTCGACTAGTTACAGAGAGCGCAGTATTTCTTGAAGTTTGATCTTCGTTCTGGTTATCGTAGTGACTTGTTCGACTAGTTACAGAGAGCGCAGTATTTCTTGAAGTTTGATCTTCGTTCTGGTTATCGTAGTTGCAGGTTCGGGAGATGGATTTTCCCAAAGCCGTTTTTCCTAATTCGATGTGAATCTCTAGAGTTTCTAGTCAGGCCATTCGGGTTGACTAATGCACACGTTGTATTCATGAATGTGATGAACTGGGTTTTTCTGTCCCTTCATGGGCTAGTTTGATATTCTCATATTTTTAAGATCGGAGGCAGAACACGAGTAGCATTGCAGACTCTTCAGGAGCATCAGTTATATGCCAAGTTCAGCAAATGCGGGTTTTGGTTTTCAAAAGTTAGATTTCTCGGCCATGTCAACAGCAGAGAGGGCATAACAGTGAATCCGGCTAAGTTTACAGCAATTCTTGATTTGGAAACGCTGAAGACGATGATAGAGATTCGAAGCTTCTTGGGTTTAGCTGGTTAATATAGGCAGTTCATCTAGGATTTCTTGAAGATTTTGACGCCACTAACATGCCTTACGAAGTCGGGTGTACAGTTCATTTGGAGCACGGAGTGCCAGAAAGTCTTTGATACCTTGAAGGCTAAGTTGACTACAGCATCGGTTTTGACTATTCCGAACAACGACATAACATATGATGTTTATGCAGATGCATCATTGGCAGGTTTGGGAGGTGTCTTGATGCAGACTCAGAGGGTAGAAGTATATATCTCATGGTAATTTAGAGTGCACGAGAAGAACTACCCCACTCATGATTTGGAGTTAGCAGCAGTGATATTTGCACTGAAGTCACGAGACATTACTTGTATGGAGCACAGTTTGTATTGTTCACCGACCACCAGAGTTTAAGTATCTTTTCTCCCAGAAGGAACTCAACCAGAGGCAGCGATGGTGGATTGAGTTTATTAAGAACTATGAATTCACGATTCTGTACATCCAGGAATAACTAAGATGTACAAAGACCTAAAGAGACACGTTTGGTGGAGTGATATGCATAGGAAGATTTCAGAGTATGTAGCTAAGTGTCTTATCTGTCAACAAGTGAAGGAGGAACATCAGAGATCTGTAGGAACACTTCAGTCTTTACCCAATTCGGAATAGCAGTGGGCGGATAATTTTTATGAACTTTATTATAGGGTTGCCGAAGTCGAAGAAAGAAAATGATTCTATTTGGGTGACAATGGATACACTAATGAAGTCAGCATATTTCATTCCAGTAAGGACTACTTATATCGCCGAGGCATATGCGAGGATAATTGTTCAGAAGATAGTTTGACTTCATGGAGTTCCAGACACGATTGTATCGGATCGAGGTTCAGTGTTCACTTCGCGCTTTTGGAAGATTTTCCAGGATTCACTTGGTAGCAAACTATCATACAGTAGTGTATTCCACCCATAGATGGATGGTCAGACGGAGAGAGTAAATCAGGTGTTGGAAGATATGTTGCGGGCTTATGTCATTGACTTTCAAGGCAGCTGGGAGGAATCATATTCCACTGATAGAGTTCTCTTATAACAACAGTTATCAAGCGATAATTAGTGTGGCCCCGTATGAAGCATCGTACGGGAGGCCTTGCAGATCGCCTATATATTAGGTAGAGTAGGAGGATAGTTTAATGCTTGGGCCAGAGCTTATGAGATAGCTTACTGAGAAAGTAACATAAATCAGAGAACAGGTTCTAGCCGCTCAGAGTTAGCAAAAGAGCTATGCAGATAAGAGATGAGGACATTTAGAGTTTCAGATTTGAAGAGTTAGTTGTGCTGAAAGTATCATCTATGAAAGACGTTCAGCGATTCGGAAGACGGAGAAAGCTTGAGCTGAGATATATTGGACCGTTCCGGATTTTGGAGCTTATTGGGGCTGTTACATATGGACTAGACTTTCCAGCATCGATGTCTAGTGTACATAAAGTATTTCATGTTTCAATGTTCGAGAAGCAATTACATGATGAAGAGCAGCAGTGAGTGTCGAACGCGTCAGAGATTTAGCTTCAGGATGATTTGACTACGATTGAAATCCCAGTTTGTATACTTGTTAGAGAAGACAAGAAATTTAGAAACATGATATTTTTCCTTTGGTGAAAATTCAGTGGAACCGGAAAGGAGTTGATGAGGTTTCTTGGGAGCGCGAGGAGGATATACATCGCGACTACCCACACCTGTTTGATCAAGTAAATTAAATTTTTGTATGAATAGTTTATGGCTTATTGTTACCTTAATGGTGATGTTTATACTTAACACTAAAATGAGAGTATTAACACTTATCTCCTAAGTACTTGGAACATATGGTATATATATGAGGGGTTCCTTATTTGAATTTTTCGCTCAATGTACTTGTTCCATTTAGTTAGGGGTTAAGTGGGGGTATTTATATTTTTGATGGTTAAGTGTAGACATTGAAGATGAATTTCGGGAGCGCGAAGATGTTATGTCGCGCGACTTCCTACACCTATTGAGGAAGTGGATTGATTTAGGTGTGCGATTATTTGTGTGGTTATATTTAGATTTAACGCTAGAATGAGGATATTTCTGCTTAAATCTTAATCTTTTAGAACACATGGTATATATATGGGGGGTTCCTTGTTTGGATTTCTCGCCCGACGTACTAGTTCTATTCGATTAAGGATTGAGTGGGAATATAGTCATCCTGGGCTATTAAATATAAATATCCCTATATGCATATCAAGAGTAAATATTCTGAGATGTTTATGTTTGTGGGTTGAATTAGATCCTCTACGTGCTTTTCTAGTATTATTATTTGCTTAAGTATGATTTCTGAATTTCGAGGACGAAATTCGTTTAAGGGGGGAAGAATGTAAAACCCCAAAAATTTGAATACTTTATGATAAATAATAATAAATATGTTATACATTTATATATAATATATTATGTTGTTTGAGTATGCTAGGAATTGATTTGAGATCAATTCAATGTATATATGTATATATATATAATGTCAACCCTTATGTTTTGATGATGTTTTACAA